CCACGGCCGCCCGGCCAGCCCCGCCCCCCCGGCGCCGCCGCACGGCCTGACCCGTGGGGAACAGCCCCCGCGCGCCGCCCTCGGGGCAGCCGGCGACCCGAGGAGCTCAGAGCCACCCCAGGGGCCCCGCACCCGCTCGCTGGAGCCACCCGGCAGCTTCTGGGGTGGTATCACGAGCGCTGCTCGCTTGTTTGCTCCCCTGCACCTCCCTTGTGAGGTCCCCCTGGCGCTGTTCCCAGCTCTGGCCCATCCTCTTCCTCACAGCGCGGCCCTGCACCGGGAGCACAGCAAGGTCCCGTCCCGAGGAGCTCCCAGGCTCTGGGTGCAGTGACGGCCCTGGCGGGTGTTGAGTGCGGGACTTGCTTTCCCAGCGCTCCTCCGAATACAGCTGTTTTCTCAGCGCAGGATCCAGACAGAGGAGGGTAAAATGTTTTCATTCCAAGCTCCCGGGGTCAGGTCATGGTTTGTCTAAATGGCTTTTGTTGCTGTAATTATCAGATTAGCTGATCTCTGGCAGTGTGTTTCGGGGCAGCTACATTAACTCTGGATCCCGACCCCCTTGGCTTCCAACACCACCCCGGCCAGCTGGGGAAATGGGTTTGCAAAGGGACGATGGGGAAGCAGGGGCCGAGCAAAACCACAGGGTAGATCCACACTTGCTCTCGAGGCCCCGACCTGGAGACAGCCCGCACACCTGGGGAACGTGGCACTGCCAAGCCTGGATGGAGGCTCTTTCCCCACAGGCAGCGGCTGCGGTGCCATTGTGCTGGGGACACCTTCAGTGACGCCTGTGGCTGCTGACCGGTTGAGCCCTGTGGAGGGCCCTGACCCAGACCCCATCGTGTCTCCTGCAGCTGCTCTTGGAAGCAGCCCCAGCGCTGCAGATCCCCATCCTGCAGGAACGCCAGTCCCACCACGAACAGCCCACGGCCGGGAGCAGGCGCTGGGGCCACCCCCCGACCCGGCAGCCCGGCGGGGCGAAGGAGAAGGAGCGTGAGATACCAGGCGAGACGGAGAGCGTGACGGGGAGATGAGAGAGCAGGCTGAGGGGCAGATAAAGAGGGATCAGGAGTTTCCGGCCCCAGGCGGCCCTCTCCGGGTCCGTCTGTCAGCGCCTCCGCGTGCTGATGGCACCCAGCCCTCCTGGAGCAGGCGGCCAACGGCCCCACTGAGGGGCACCGCTCAGGTGCCAGGGGGGGTCCCCAGCACCGCTCCATGGGACCGTGCTCGCGCTAGCCGCCTCCGACGCGCAGCAGCACCGCACCTGCGCGGCCACCTGCCCCCAGGCAGGGCAGACTCATGCACACGCATCTCCTCGCTTCCACGCCTGCAGGAGGGAGCAACAGGGCTTTCACCTGTACCAAGAGAGATACTAAAAATATTCAATAAGTCTAGATCAGAAAAAAAAAATATTTTGAAGTTTCTATGTAAAACCAAATCTCTAAAATATGATTTCACTGCTTTTCAGTTCCCAGAGCACTGTAATGCTGGAAGGTAGTGCTTCACCGCCTGAGCAGTTCTTCTGGGATGGACTGTCTGAATGTTCTACTTCAGAAAACCTTTCAGCCTCCTTGAACACTTCAGAAAATTTCAAGAGCAAAATTTTGCCTAATTTGCCTACCTTGTTCATGCAGGAAGACTTGGCTTCAGCAAAACATAATTTTCCAATGAAAATATAAAGTAGTGGAAAGTCTACTCCTGGCATTTTTCCTAATTCTCACCATGAAAAAGCTTGGTTAGCTCCAAAGCCACCTTCTCTGCTTCCAGCTGAAAGCCCATGAGTGACATAAAGCTATGAGGACAAGGCCCACACGTTCCTGAGAATAACAGGCATGTCCTCCAACCTGCCAGCACTCAGGCCTATAGCAGCACTCACAGCAGAAATCCGCCCAAGTCCTGCTGGGAAATAGTATTCCTGGAATATTCCTTCAGTCGCTTGACAAAACCCACCAGATTTATCCTGAATGTGAGATTTGGGATTATAGATCATAAAGGTATTGCAATATGCCATAGTTTCAACCATCATTTCTGAAACAAAGATGTTTTCAAGTTGGCTAAAAATCCCCTCGGCCCCATGACACTGGTCCTTCCTCAGGGACACTGTGGGCCAAGGTTGGCTCACTGGCTTGTCCAGACCAGCCTGCCTTCCCTCTGCTGGTTTCTCTGCCTGCTTCTCAGGGCTGTTGCTGTGATTTATTCTCGCATGGACACCCTAGAGTGTCTCTAAGCCCCATCTCGGAGCGTGGATCTGTCAGGACCTGCCACATAGTCATGCTCCTGACCTCAGTGCCTGCTTGTCCTAAGGATGTCCCTGGAGGAGCGCAGATCCCTGACCAGAGAGGAGCGGGCAAGACCTGATCCATGTGCTTGCCAAAGGATGAGCTGGTGCTGATTTTCCCTTCGGCATTAGCACCTGCTGGCAGATCCCTGCAGGTCATACCATAAAGGGCTGCAACCCCTGAATCTGATGCCCTGGCACTGCTACCTGTCACTCTGGGCATTAAAGGTCATGGTTTCCTAACAGTGCCAATGGCCTCTTCAGAGAACTGAGTCAAAGTCCGAGCTGTAAATCCTGGAGCATCCCCAAGCCCAAAGCAGGAGAGGGGCTGCTACATCAAGGCATGGCCTTTTGCACAGTCCAGGAAGCTGCTTTGGGGACCCCTGGACACAGCGACACATCTACCACCATCCAATGGCTTGGGGTGCCCTAGGGACACCAAATGGTAGAGGCAGAACTGGAGGGAGCACAACAATCTTGTGCTGCGCACACACGCAGGAGGACAGGCGCCCGCAGGAGCACGCGCAGCACGTGCTCTCATGTCACCACACTGCTGAACACCTCCTGTCCCACCTCCCACCCCG